GTGTTCCGGTTTTGCTTCGTTTCCGGTTATTTGTGTTAAAGAAAATACAATTTCATTAACAATTAATACCATTATAGTTATAATTAGTAATTACTAATATTTTATATTAAGTACTCCGTGAATTGAGATTCGAGTACCTACTATTGGCTACTAATCTGAAATAGTCAAATCACTCAATCAATCTATTATATATAATCATTAAACTCTTCAGATGGGTGATGGGGATATAATAGTTTAATTAATTCTAAAAAAAAACATATTAACATGATTCAAGAAAACCTGTGGAGGGTACAAATAGCATATAATATAATGTCTTGACAACTTACTAAATAATATATATTGTATATTGTGTACAAAATTACAAATATTTAAAACTGAAAAAACCAGGAAGTACCTATGCTTTTTATAATCTCTCTAGTTATGCTAATTTGTGGCATAGGTATGCGTATTCTCCTCAATGGGCATGAGAGGGGTTATCATGAGGATGAGGTTTGGTTTGGACATTCCCTTCAAGCAACGTGACATGTATAATTCTTTGGTTGAACTATTTGAGTATCGAGTAAGGCTGTAAAAGGTGTAGGGGATTGAAATTTGAAGCTATCCAAAAGCTATCCAAAATCCAAATATTTACCGATAAGTACAAATATTATATACAGCCATGACTAAAAAATTTAAAAAACACTTTAAACCTAGGATCTATAAAATAATTATCCAACCGGCAGTGGCGCCGACGTTCAAAATTTTAACTACGGCATTAGACACCTCCACATACAATTTTGACACCCACCTATTTTTTATAATTATACCTTACCATAAACCAAGTATAGTTTTTATGTTGTCTATTAAACAAATGTTGATAAAATAACTAAAGAATGACAAAGGGGACCAAATACCTACTAAAATCACCTATGGCAGTAAGTTGTCATAGGTAAATAATAAATATATACTTTGGCGCCACTGCGTTGGCAACCACCTTCACCATAACAGTAAGTAATTAACTATTAAGTATTAAGCCTAGCTAGGGGGAACCTATGTAATATATCAAAGGTGGGCAAGTTAATGAAAATAATTAACTCAAGTTAAGTTAAGTTAAGGGGACACAAGATCGATAAGTTAAAAGTTAACAGTTAACAAATTATAAATTTAACTCGAAAGATTTTTTTTATTTTTTATTTTACACAATATTATATTCACTATTCAGTCTGTACAAATTATGCACAATTACCATATATTTGATAAGGGTTTAAAAAAATAACACATGAGTGGCACTTGACTGGAAGTTGTATGAAGCTACATATACTGTTTTTTTTTGGTTTGTTTTAATTTTTGAAATTAGTTCCCTTATAGTAAGTCACGGCACCAGCTCCTTTTTAATCGACGCCCGGGGTCGCCAGGTAACGTTTGCGTGGATAGGTTTTTAATGAGTGGGTTTTTGTGGGTTTGTAGCCGGGCATGAAGGAGAAACGTGTAGCTTCTTCTATTACGGTTTTAATTGACAGGTCATTATGTATAGTGTAATTCGAAACAAAGGGTGGAGCATTAGTAATTTTCCTATGAGCAATATTCTGAAATCGCTGAATTTTGTTAATGTTGGACGCTTTTGCTGTGCCCCATAATTGAAGACCATATACCATCCATAGAGGTTTGAGTAGTGTTTTATATATAAGAACTTTAATTTTTAGAATGGAGTGTTTGTTGTTTGTGAGTAGCGTTTGTAGTCTGCGAAGACGGGCGTTTAATGCAAGTCTTTTTATACGGATATGGCTGTTCCAAGTGAGGCGATTATTGAAGTTTAGTTCTAGATATCTAACTGAGTCAGATGTGGGAATAAACTCGAAAAGTTAAAAGTTAATATAGAAAAAAATATTAACTTAACTCAGTTTAAAAAAAGTTAATCTATTTTTTTTAATTAGTATGTAAATCACATAAAGAGTGAATGTGTCTTTTACTCTTTTCAGTTTCTTATTTATAAATTATAAAAAACAATTTTATTGAACTTTTACCATAATGTACACTGTATACCATTTTACTTTTACTTTACTATTATTTGTTAATTTAAACTATACTAATCTCAAATTAATAATTTAACACATTTATTTTTTTATAACGTATAGAAATTGAATGTCATCATAATACGTGAAGATAAGTACATGACCTTCATATATATTATAAGTTATACAACATTAAGACATACCTATAACAATTGTCAATTTGTAATTTAAAATTATTAATTTTATTAAAAACATTTATAATTGCCACTCGCATAATATATCATTTACAACTTAATAAAATATATTAATATGTCCAAAATTATGTTATCAAGAAAAGGAACAGAAATGTTTGTGTTTTTGATTGAATTATTTTTATTTTATACTGATATAGTAATATTTACATACCTATAAACGAAAAATTTCAAAATGTTTTTAACTAGATGGATCTTTTTAAAATCAACTGAGAAAAGCTAAGTTATTTCAACTGTAAATCCTAGTTAAGTTCATAAGTTGATTAGAAAATGAACTAACTAGTTAAGTTAAAAAATTAACTTTTTAACTGAACTTTAACTTATTAACTAGTTAAGGCCCACCTTTGTAATATATATATCAATATAGCAATATTAATTATTAAATAAGTAGATAGGTAGTACCTACTATATTATAGTGTTTTCGCGTACCATTTCGTATAAACCGAACAAAAAAAACCAACTATAAAAAGAAAATTCTGGACACGAATTAGACAGAAATCAAATCCCAAATCGGGATGATAACGGTGACCGTGTAATATATTATCCCTAATATACAAATAGGTAGTGAATTTTACCTAGTAGGTACCTTTAGAAATAGGCCAGAAATTATATTATTCATAGAAATTCGTTTTGTAGTCATCTATACATATAAGTTATAGCTATATAAATTATAAGAAATAACTATAAGTGAAAAAATGTTATGTATCTATTGCCTATTGGCTATATTATATACCTAGCTATTATTTATTAATTTATTTTTTACTTATTAATATATTATTAAATTCGAAAAATATTTTTGGATTAAACTTACAATATTGCCGATATTAATTATTTGAAATTTCTTAATCCTAAAAATATATTAGAACTTCTAATACCTAACTTCTAATAACTTTCTAATTTAGAAGATTATATTCTAATAGCTAGGTATAGGTAAGGGTAACCATATTTTGTCAATACCTATGTTATGAGTTGGTAATTATGACGCTTTAATAACTAATAAGTATAACCAAGTTTTAAAGGATTAGATCTTTTGTCTTATAAAAATTAAAACGGCGGAGTACGATTGCGCGCGTTTTACCTTTTTAGGTATACGATTGCGCGCAGTGCCCGAATAACAAAAGACAACATTTTAATTACTCAAAGGCGTACGATTGCGCGTGAAATTGGGTGCGACGTTGCCAAATGTATTACGTAAATAATAAAAATACAAAAAGTTAATAATATAAAAAAAATGTTATTTAAAAAAAAATTAAAAAATTAACGTAAATAATAAAAAATAAAATAATACAAAATAAAGAAATTTAATAATTGAAAAAATATAATACTCGTAAATCAATATTTATATTACATTTTAAACCCCCGATACCTATTTCCAACTATGGCCAAATACTTTAGTAAATTTTCTGGTGTTTTATTGTTTACATAATGTTTGTGTTCATTTTTCAAATTTTCAATTTTCCTTGATTCTTCATTCGATTTTGGTTTTATTATACCTTTGGAAATGGTTAATAATTTGGTAACTGTTTCTGCCTGAGGTTCCATAAAGGTAGCTATAACGACAAATATTGGTGGATGAGCACTATTAAACTGTGCATTATATGTACTATGGAAACTTTCAGCCCCGTTTGTAGTCCTAAAAATAAATAATATAATATTATAGTTGACACATTTTTTTTTAAAACTATTATTAGAACCGAACACAACTGATAGTTAATTGATATAGTCACATCATGCACGATTATAGTATAGGTATATTCGTACATGTATGGACATTTACAATAAAGATAATATTTTTGATACATAATATAACCAATTCATTCTTAGTGATGGGAAGTTTGTCTGATATCGGCAAAAATAAGTAATAAATAATCTACTATAATCTACTATGTATCCTACGGATTTACCATGGACCTATATATTTGGCAACGTTGCTTAAAAGTTAAAATAATATAGCGCGCGCAATCGTACGCTTAAAAAGGTACCGCTGATAAGGACCGCGCGCAATCGTATCGCGCCCAATTAAAACACCTTATTGAGTTCTAATAATGGTATTTTATTTTTGTATTTCATTCAATTTAGTATTATTATTTAAAAGTTAAAATCAATGATATTACGTCTTATGATGTGACGTGAGACCTGTGACGATGGACTTTATGACTTTGTTGTTCATTTGCATTTTAAATGTTTAGTGAAATAATAAATATTAAATAGGTAGCCCGAGCGAACCAAAGCATCAAGGTAGATAATTTATTCCTCCTTGAGTTGGATGTCTAAAATAATCCATAGAGGGAGCTACTAGCTCAAAACAAAATATCAAACGTGACGTTATGACGTCACATTTATTATCATGATACTGTTCTACTGAGTAGTGAGTACTGAGTACAACCACAGAACAACACGGTACAACTGGCTTCTCACTGCTCTAGTGTTGTTTTATCATCCAGTTTTATGTCCTATCTTGCGTGTTAGTTTTCAATGTTGTCGTTCTTGCGAATTACGATTTTTTGTCAATAGGTAAATTGTTTTTGAACATAAGATAAACATAATATTTACGTATGTTAGTACTTAGTACGTCTATGGTGTATTTCTAGTGAAACTGTTGAAGTGTACCTACTATGGTTAATAAACAATAATGTTCTTTTAAATTATGTTCGAAACGTGAATTTGATACTAAACTCTGTTAATCAGCGCATCTACCAAAAAAATTAATTAGACCTATTTTACGAATAGACCATCTGGAAAGAGCATGTCATTCATGATGGTTGACCGACTGCCTGTTCCTAAACTGTCTACATATATCTCGGCTACTGTATTATCCATTTCAGCAGCTACCTATTATTCAGTTAAATACAGCTTTGATGCAGCACATGAATCAAATTCTAATATTCAAGTTGATGAAGATCCGACAAAAACCGATCCAATGGATGTATACTATGAACAAATGCTTAATGTATTGGCATTTATGTTGCAAGATCCTCTATGCTTTTTGGTAAGTTGATTCATAAGACACATATTTAGTAATATTCAATTAATAAACATAATCATAAAGTGGTTGATATTAAGTAGGTACCTAATCAGTAAATTGACTTTGAATGGTTTTTATTTTATATATAAATAAATTAAATTATTTTATGATTAGGATGTTAAGATGTTATCTCTTCAGCTTATTGTAGTCTGTAGAAAAATATATATTATGTTGGTATAAATTGTAGGATTTTTAAAATTACAATTAAAAAAACTTTAAATTATCATGTATCCTTACATGTATATTGTTATTTCTTATTTAATGTACCTATAAAACTTTAATGTGAAGTAGTAATTACCTACAAGATAAATAGTAAATACCTATAGATAAACCATAAATTATTTGTTTTTTTCCTTAGCGAATAATCCAAATATCCAATTAATTTCATTTTATTTCGATACTTAAATTAATAAATATTTAATATATTTAGGTACTATTTGGTATTATAGTTTGAATATTATATTTTTAATTAATCACAAATACATTTATTAAGGCATTTATTTATTCAATTATTTTAGGTCGAGAATGGCTTAATGACTATTGAAAATATTAAAATCCAAATTAATATATAATTGAATAATATTAAAGAATATGAACTGATCAATTATACATATTATCTTCATACATTACCACCTTGAGCTATATGGCACATATTATGTAAAGGTTTTTTAGATTTCCAGCAATTGTAATATTTAATTCATGTGTGATAATAGAAATGTAGAATATTAATAAGAGTTAATTTTGTATACCTTTCATCTAGTTAAAATTAGTTATTTTTTTTGTTAACCTCAGTATTTACTAAAGTAAGGAATATTTAACTAAATTAATTAAATTGATCTACCTTTGCATAAAATAACTTTCAAGGTAAACAAAATTTAAAAAAAAAATGAGCATAATATAAAGATGTTATCCTTATAAATATTTGAATAATTTGGATTCCCATGTTTTTATTTTTATACATCATTCAGCTTTAGCTTATAATTTATTTACATACAATATTGACAACACAAAGTAAACAACTTCAATTTGTTTCTTTTTTTATTTTTAACCATATTCTTTTATAATATAATATTTATCTAATAATTTTAACTGTTTTATACTAATTGTTTTATTAATGTAATAGGTAAATGCATTATGAATTTAATGAAAACAATGTAAAAGTTCATACATCCATTGCATTTCTTATTTAGGTACTACTAAAATAATTTAAGAAGAATTTCAGTGATTTTTATTCTAAATCTATATATTATGTAAGGCTTGTCATAATAACCTCTGTGTGTTTGCGTCCGTAGATCATATTGTTTTATTTATTTTGGACTTAATTATGTATTAAAATATATAATATTGAATAAAACCAACATGGCTTACTGGTTTTTGAAAAATAGTCGACTAGTTCTCTAAAAATTGTGAAATCGAAAAATTTAGATCCTATGAATAATTCAATTTTGTAAATTAAATTAATAATTATTATCGTAAAATATTATTAAAAGTCCTATGTAATGTTTTATAATTTTCTACGTTAAAACAAAATTGTTATTATTTTTAAATTGCCAATAGAGTTTAACTTTAAATTTTGTATTACTCTGTAGTTCTATTAAAGTATTAAATAAATTATAAAACGTACGGGTTCTTTTTATTTCCTTCCTATAAATACTAGTAGGATATAAGATTGAGGAAATAAAGATAATTATTTAATTCTATTTAAAAATAAATTATAAGTTTTGAATACTATGTTTGACTAGCGTACTGAATACTGGTTACTGGGTGACCTCAACTATTTTTGTTCCGGATCTTAATAACGAAGTAATCGGCAATATAACTAAGAAGGACCATAGAAAACAATCATCTCCCTTATTATAAATAAATGTTATAAATAGAACCGGTTTCTGTTATCATTTTAATCATTTAGGGTAATTTTTTTCGGGACTCAAGTAAATTATCTTAATAATTATAATAGAATTCGCTATATATTGTAATATTGTACAATAAACATTTTGTTTTTAGGTATTTATTTAAAAATATACAGGTCAAGCCCAACGTTAATATTTAATTTTATTACCTACCTAGTTAATATTTTATGAATACTAGCTTTGTTATTCACTAGTTTATTTATGTATCCCCTGAAATTTTTGGCTGAATGAGAGCGGCAAGAGCACAATCATAAATGTTCACACTATTTTTACAAAATTATATTAATATTATTATAGCTTCTACCTTCTAGCTACTATAACAAAGAAGTAACTATAATATTATTAATCACTATAAATGATTTTAAAATTGATATAACCTTGAACTCTAAAAATAATATAATAATCTATAGCAGTATAGCATAATATTATGTTGTTACCTATTGGTCAATACTCCATAGTCTTTATCTTAAAATTATCTATTTTATATTGTTGTCAATAAATTATAATACTAAGTTCCAATATTAGATGAAACGTAAAGGTTACTAAATTTTGTCTTCTGTTAACAATCATACACCATATTATCAAAATATCGTATTAATAATATTTAATAAATAAAATTATAGGTATTATTGATTTTAACTCAATATATTATAAATAGTATGTATGTTGTTGCTGATGAAGTAGTTGAAAGCCAAGGGGGGCTTAGAAACTTTATGCGTTATGTTTTAATGTTTTAAAAATTATTTTTTTTAAATTGAATTATGTAATAATTAATTACTACAGTCTACAAGACTAAAATTAAATCAATTCGAAAATGAACACGTTTTTTATTAAAATTTTTTTGTTTGAAAATATCATACCCGTCTTGGATTATGTGCGGCCGTGGCGAAGTGAATAATATTATATTGTTTTTACATTGATGTATGTTGTTTTTTTTTTGTTTGGACGATATTTTGGTGCAGTAAATCTTTGATAGTTAGGATGGTTTCTGGTAACAAATTTGATATTATAGTTGTCATTCTCGGGGGATAAGACTTTTTAACACAGAATAAAACAATGTCTTAATAATCGGGAAAAATTGATAAGAAACAGTGGGAAAATGGGAATATTTCAACGTTGCGTTTATCCACTGAACCAGTTTTTGACAAAATCGATTTTGTTTTTTAATTTTTTTATTCAAAAATAATTCCTCGATAATAACTGCAAGAAAAGACTTAACTGAAAATATTTAACATTTCTTAAATACAAATTAAATTAAAATATTTATTTGATAATTTGGCGGTTAAAAAATATAAAAGTAAGTTATAGACTATATAGTTATATATAACAAGTTTATAATTATACTTATAGTAGGTATTTATAGTTAAATAAATGAAGTGGGCACTACCCCTGCGTTTGTTGTCTCCGTCTTACAAACCTACGACATGGAAAATGTTCGTTTACTAGTTTCAATAGTGTGCTCAGTGCTGCTATTTTGATATAAGAGTGAATTTGCCTATTATCAAACGATCGGTTTTTTACGATATTTTAATTTTGAAGTGGGTTATGAGTGTAAAAACTTAATATTAAAATACTCATAATTAAATTAATAATTAAAATATCATAAAAACCGACCAAGCAAACACAGATAATGTTCTTAATTAAAAGTTTGATAATAGGTCAATTCAATCTAATATCAAAACTGTTGAACGAATGTTGAACGATGTTGTACGTGTGTAAGACGGATACAAAAAATGCATGGGTAACGTCCTCATAAGTTAAAAAAGAATATTTTAATAATAATACTCCTAATCATATGTTTAATTAAATTTTAATACAATAATTGATGTGTAGGTATTTTAGTTATCTTACATTACATGAAAATGTTTAATTCTATAATATATAAAATACTTGGATGTAAAAGTAATAACAGGTTTACTTAGATTAAATTAATTAGACACATTTTATTTACAAAAAATCATTATGTTTTGATATGAAAAAGTATTATTTTTCATTTTCTAAAATATTTTAATTGTATATCCGTAAAAAACTAAAATCCATTTTACATGATAAATATTATATAATGTTAATTACTTATTAAATTTAATGTCAATAATGGTAAATAACAAATCTACTGTTATCTAAAACATGATGTGAATTATTGTTCATTATTCGGGAAGAATATTATAATAGTTATAACTTATAACTTATAACATCTAGAATACTGAATAGTGATACCTATTCAGTGAAATTTCATTTATTTTGTGACTTAGGTCAAGTTCCTAAGTCCATTAGCTCTTCTCAAATAAATATATATTAATACATATTTGTTATAATATGAAATGCTCAAATATGATTAATTCATTTTATGTGCCTACATAGTATATTAGTATACATAATGTATATAATACAATATATTATACATAATTGTGTACCAAGGTCGTATTAAAATGTTGTGTCGAAGTAAAAAAATTTAGGTCTGTATAATATTATTCTTTCAATTTTCAAATTTTAGGAATTTTATAAATTAATAATTTAGATATATAATATTTTAATATTTTATAATATAACCGGAAGTCGAAATAGCGTATAGTAAGAATTATAGTAAGAACTAGGAAGAGTAAAGTATACTTTAGTAATTATAGTAATACGCTGTACGTATGTTGGCTGTGAAAACGTTGATTTGGCCCTAGGCAAATAGATAAGTATAATATAACCTCATGAGATAATCGTTTATCATAAATGAAAATATTTGTTAAATGTGTGTGTAAGTATAACATTGACTATTGAAATTGAATCATTTAATAATTATCAAATATCGAATTAAAATGGTTTGTGTTACACTGTTACTAAAACTAGTTATCCAGTCAGGCATAGGCGTGTATATGGTGGTAGCCTAGGGTGCCTGGGCTGCCCCTGCAATTTCGGAAAGGTGTCGGTCAACCGAGTTTTAAGTCAGAAGGGTTACATTTATTTATTTTTAAAAACTTGATTTTTTTGTGGGTAGGTATCGTTATAAATACCATTTACTTCCAAAGATTGATTTCCTGACTTAAGAAATCCGAAAAACCTACT